TCGTCCTACTGTTGAATCGATCTTTGTACGGTCTCAAGCAGTCTCCTCGCTGCTGGTACAAAATGGTTAAAACCTTCTTCCTCTCAATCAATTTCTCTCCTTCTAAGTCCGATCCGTGCCTGTTTATTTCAAAAGATCCTAACTGGCGATGTTTTGTGCATGTACATGTTGACGATATGTTGATCATGGGCAAGGACACGGCTCGCTTCTCGAAACTCATTCAAACTAGGTTCAAGATGGAGGACTTAGGTGATGTATCATTTTACCTAGGTATGAGGCTGGAACGTGATCGTGTCGCCAGAACTATTACACTAACTCAAGACAAATATATTCTAAGTATGCTCGACGAATACGGTATGAGGGACTGTCATCCTGTTTCAACACCTATGGTACCTGGCTCTTATCTCGCTCCAGCAACTGACGAGGATCACAAGTTATTTTTAGAAACAGGTCAAAATTATAATAGAGCAGTTGGACTCCTCAATTATTTAGTTTTATGCACGAGGCCCAACCTAGCGTTCACGGCTGGACAATTAGCTCAGCATCTCAAGAAGCCGGGTCCTGAACACTGGGCTGCTTTCAAGAGGGTGCTTCGCTATCTTCAAGGAACGTATCAAGATGGATTGGTGTTAGGGGGTGGAGTCATAGATTTAAAGATTTACGCAGATTCAGATTATGCAGGGTGTCCGGCAACAAGACGCTCGACAACGGGTTACATCTCAAAAGTGGGTAATGGTTGTGTAAGTTGGCGGTCGAGAAAACAAGCATCAGTGTCCACTTCCTCAACTCAAGCTGAATACCGTGCTGCCTACAAGGCAGCTCAAGAAGCGGTATGGCTACGGCGTATTTTAACTGACTTAGGCTGTCCGCAATCAGGTGGTACTACATTTCTATGCGACAATCAAAGTTCTCTTGCGCTTCAGAAGAATCCTCTATTTAAAGACAGATCTAAGCACTTCGCGGTCCATCTCCACTGGATTCGAGAACAAGTGGATGCTAATGTCATAACGCCTACTTACATACCAACAAAAGAGATGCTGGCTGACGTGTGTACTAAATCACTTCCTCGACCTCAACATCAATATCTTACTGATCAGATTAGAAACTAGGATGTTATCAATTGAGGGGGGGTATTGAATTATCATCACAATAGTTAACATCCACTCAAGGCCGTAGCAACTATTCCGCATTGGTCATAGTATCCAACGTCTCCTTATTTCTCTCTTTACCATTCTCATATGTTTTATCTTTGTCCCAAAGCGGCGCATGAGAAGCGCAAACCTGATGAAAGATTGTTAACCTATGTATCGCAAAGTTATCACTATATAAAGACCAATTGTTTGCGTGTTATTGTATTTTCTTCACTCAAACATTATTGTGTCTCTACGTTGCTACCTTCCGACAGGTGCATACCTTTCATTTCCATCACTCTTAGTGATATCTAGCCATAGCGCTTTCCCTAAATCACTAATACGTGATTCCTTATCAGGTTCGCTAGTAGCTCTTTCTCTGTTTCTTTTCTTTATCAACTTATGCTTGCTGCTTAATAGTAATTAATACTCAAACATTATTGTGTCTCTACGTTGCTACCTTCCGACAGGTGCATACCTTTCATTTCCATCACTCTTAGTGATATCTAGCCATAGCGCTTTCCCTAAATCACTAATACGTGATTCCTTATCAGGTGCATACCTTTCATTTCCATCACTCTTAGTGATATCTAGCCATAGCGCTTTCCCTAAATCACTAATACGTGACTCCTCATCAGTCACGATCTCATTCCTATCTCATTATTACTGTCACTTTGAACCATTTTTTACGTACTGTCCTTAAGATTTCACGTAAACCGTAAAAAGGGGAAATGGGGCCAGTGCGTGTCTCCTGTAGCAGGATGACAGCTTTTTGTGCGGATGCTCCAGCGGGCTTCCAAATACCCACGACTTGAAACACATGATTGTCATGGTTGAGCTGGCAAATTCACGTGAGAATTGTGGTTATCAAAGGGTGGATCAAGGGAATAACCAACTCACCTTCACAAAGTCGGAGTTTTCTACTGTCTGTTTGTTGGTCAAACAGACACTCGTATGTTGAATCCACTCATAATGAGGCGCCTCATTCAGAAGGTATTGAGGAATTTCGATGGCTCCCTCAACACGCGCTGAAGGAGGAACAACAAAAGAGCAAACCAGCGTTAGAGACGTTGATTCATGCGCATCAACAAACAAAATACATACACCCAATGGCAAGCACCCCCGCTTGATGGCGCTTTGGGTCAAGCCCCATAGCTTGACGTAACTCAGGCATTCTTTGGAGGAGCTCTCGAACTCTCGGTCCAGCTGAACACCGTCCTTCCAACTCCTTGTCAACAAAAGAATTACCGGAAAGAAGGCCGCGCATGAGTTGATAGTTATTGAACGTCTCTGCGATGTCACGGCCAGGCGCCATGCGGTTTGTATGAACAGACGCCGCTCGCAAAACCGCGTTATAACTTTTGAACTTTTGTGTGGCAAATAAGCTAGGAGGTCCAAAACACTCGATCAAGTCCTTCAAGTGGCAGAGCATGTGAAACTTGGGCTTGTTTACCCATTGAGATGAAGTCTTCATCAGCGCATGGAAAAACATTAAGATTACATCTTCAATATTTTGCAGATATCTTTCCAAGTGAGGGATTTTGTTCTGAAAGACAAATGATCCCAAAAGACACAGTGAAATCCACAAGTTGCGCTTTTCGGTTGTTGGAATGTATTCGAGTAGCACAAATGGAGCTGCTTGAAGGATGGTCTGAAAGTCCTTCCCAACGAGGCTCTGGTAATGAACGATCAGAGTGTGAGGTTAAATTTTCGCAATATTCAGGCCTTTGGTGTTGAAACTTTGCCACCTAGCCGACAATTCTCGATAGCGATTTGATCCAGGCTTGATGATGCCAAATGCCTTCATCGTGTCGCGAAATAGGTACTTTGCGATTCCAAGTAGCATGACGTGGAGGGTTTCAACCGGTGTGTCTTGGTGACCATTGAACCCTATGAAAATAATTCGTTTCATTCACTTGGGAGGAAGTTCAGATGCCAAACTCCAGAGAAACATACCTTGCAGCCTCAACATCGGGTTAAATAAACGGTCTCCCATTTGGCGATGCAACTCTTCGCAAAGCTCACGTGCATTCAAACTCTCAGGTGATTCATGAGCCTGGTGAACCTTTTGGAGGAAGTAATCCAGAACCGAGTCGCGGAATCCATGTTTCCGTGCTTCCGTTTCGACAGATGTTTTGCTGTGAGGCCTTTGCGCCATTGTCCATAGTTCGTGAGCCCTTGCCCGCGTGACATCCCAGTCGCGTTTAGGCAGAGAAAACTGAGATTTCAAAACGACGAATCAAAGAAGCTATATCAGCAAAGGCCAGTGAGACAAGGTGGAAGAAGACATGGTGACACTAACCTGTTCACCGTCTAAATCTACTCCAATGAAGTCGGAAACATATTGTTCGGTTTTCTTGTCGTTCATTTGCATCACTTGCAAATCACATATGCGACAAGGTGTCAAAGTGTTCGCAGGGTTTGTCGTGTTACTGATCTCCGCGTGCATGGGGCCATCACCCAAGTGGAATAGCACCACCACCATCGCGAGAACGTCAGTGCCGGTGACGTGGTTGTATGCGGCGAACCCGTGGGCACTGTGGTCGCTGGAATAAGGGTATTGGTTAGCTACAATTGAATCCGTCAGGGTGTAAGCGGAAAGATCCTGACTTGATGTCATCAACGACCTCGTCAAGTAATTCCAGCGCCAAGGCACAATTGGAGGTTGCCAAAAAATGTATATTATACTCCTCATTGGTCATATCAGGAGGAAGACCAGCGAGTGTAAAAAACAGACTCATGTGCTTGTTCCACGATTTAGAGACACTTCCGGATGTATCGTCAGAATACAAGCCAATCGGGATGTGCTTGATCACCCGGCCGGTTGCTCATAGACGCCAAGGATTGATGATATCGCATTGCTGCTGCAAGCCGTGTGGGGTTTCCTCTGGCGTAGAACATCAGTTATATTCTATTCAATGCCATTGTTAGTATATGAATGATGCAGACTCACAATATATATGTCCAGAGAGAGTTGATCCGTCGTGTAATTTGATATCAGCAGTTTGTTTCCAAAAGTCCTTGACGTCAATGGTTTCAAAGATATTTGAGTCGAACCACGGTTCAGCTGGGATAACTATTGAAAGGGAATCGCCGTGCGGATCTTTTTGAAGAGTCGTGGGCAGACATTTTGCCATGGTCTTCCCGTCTTGCTGGAGAAAGAAGGCTGGGACAATAACATGCGCAGAAAAGAGTTGCACAGGTTCGTATATGAACCAGTGCTTTCCTCGGGAAATTGGTCTTTGCAGAAGGTACGAAGTGTAAAGCTCGTCCATGGAGATATGATTCAATCCGTAACGGATGACCCTCAAAGGAGTATTAATTTACAATTAAAAGATGAGGAGATACGAGAGAGAGGAATCAAAGACTCCCTCTAGACCTCATCGCCACATTCGTAGATGGAGACGTCATCCTTTCTTGAACCTCCACGGTCGAAAGATGATTATAAAGCTTCTATCTTATTCTCCTCTACGAGCGCGCTCTTGTTTCGACAATTTCACTTATTATCAATTATTATCTTTATCTATCTCATCATCAGTCTCTACTTAGCATCCCTTTACTATTAAGGATACAGTTCCTGTTTCATTTTCTTTTAAATCTTAAATCCTACCTTAACAATAAACAAACTATCTAACAAATTCCTTTATTCGATCTCATCAATACAAATAATAATTTAAGAACTTTATAATCAATCGTTTTTAACATCAGTATTCTGAACGTCCGTTTCATCACTATCTTAAAGCTCATCATTCACAATCGATTAGTCAAATCAAATCTATCTCCTCCGTTTATACATTTTATTTAATTATTGCTATAATCCAAATTCGAATAAAAAGATTTCCGTTTAAATTTTATACATAATCTTCAAGAATGCCTAGTCAACAACAAATCACCAGAGCTACCAGAAGCGGTAGAACGATTGATTCGCAAACGAACCCAATTGAGATCCCACCACCTTCATCATCCGGAGCAGACCAAGACCACCCAACCAATAACAATTTGGAAGGGACTGATAATCCAGAAGAAGAAGAAAGAGAAAACGACGGTTTAGATGGTGAAGCTTTAGACGAACAACTTAGAGATGACGTAGCAGAGATGATGGAGAACTATTAAGAAGATGAAGTCGAAGACCAAAACAAAGCAGCACCTCAAATATCGCTAATCAGCTCAGAGGACGACGATTCTTCGGAAGGCCCATCCTCAGATGATTCAGATGACTCATCCTCAGATTCATCAGACAGTAGTAATTCTCAGTCATCATCAGATGAAGAATCAACTTCATCCGAAAGCGATTCAGACTCCTCTGAACGAATCATCAAGTCAAAGAAGAGTAAGTAATCGAATTCTCTAGAAAACTTTTTCATCAGTGATGGTTCTCATACATTGCAAGCTCCCAGGTTTGAGCGCCTCCTAAAAGGGGAAGAGACAAATTGTCTAGAGTTTTCGAAAGAAAAGCTCGAACCAGATGGTGACCTCCACTGGAACTTCTAATCTCTTGAGAAGAAAAAACTGACACCAGCATTGGTTTGTAACCATGTAGGCAAGAAGAAGTCAATTAAATCCCTTGACAAAGCGATAAACAAGGCGATAAAAGAAAGAGAGAAAGCAAATATAAAGAAGAAAGAGACAATCGTCGAAAAGAAAGGTACGTAATTCCTTTTAAAAATAGATTACAAAATGATGAACAAAATCATCTAAATGAGTCACTATCACATTCTGTTTATAAAGGGAAAGACGGAATGAATGAACACGGTAAGAAAGCGAAAACAAAGAAGATAAAGTCTTCATCGTCAAAGAAAATGGAATCAGATTTCAATCTGGACTTCCATGTAAATCACTCCTGCCAACTTTACAAACGTATTGGAACAAAGCAATGTTGAAGTTAAACGAGAAGGTTCCTCTCACCGTTTTAAACCCATCCTTCGTACAACAAGATCAAGATGAAAGTCATAAAAATCAACCATCCTCATCTTCAAAATCTTCTAGAAATAGAGGATTAAACCCTCCATCCGAATACGCCATGTCCTTTGGTGAATGGATAGACGGGATTTCTCTCCTGAGAAAATACTTGAAAGAAACGTACAAATTTGCGATATTAGCAAAGCAATTAAAGAGTCACATAAAACATGTCAAGAACATAAAGTACGTAAGAAAAGAATCCTTTTCGTAAACATACAAAAATCATACATAGAAATCTGACATACAAAAATGGTTTCGAAAATTTAGAGAATCAACGGAGTGTTGGATGGTGGCCCTCAGATACGACATTATGTTTCGGTCACAACTTTTTACTCATCGAGCAAAAGGAGTCCCCATGCCAGATGCGAGTTTGTACGTAGAGAACTACGAAAAGAGAGCAAAAGAAAGAGCATCAAAGACCGGGGAACTATCTTTCGGAAACACCAATCCTTATGCGAAAGGCGGGCGTTATGAAAATAGAAACCCAATTACAGGCGCTTGGAATGAGTAAGCCTTTTTGATTCCGATAAAGTCTAAATATGTTTTTTAACTCAAAGAAATTTGACATCTGAAATTTTAGAGGAGCATCGACTAACGGTAAAAAGAGACGAAATACTGCTACCAACAACCCATTTCCATCACACAACAGAAGAGCAGCACATCCTCCAAGAACATCTTTCACACAAGAAAGACATGATCAACCTCAACCTCAAATTAATGTCAGAGAAAACGAAGTTCGTAACCAAACCTTTAATCAAGGAACTAACGAATCTGGTAACAGAGGAAGCAATCGTAGAGGTAGAGGTGGGATAAGCACTAGAGGCAGACCACGCCAACAGTGAGTTATAGCTGGTTTTTTACATACATTATTTTCAAATTTTTCGAAATTTTCATCTCACCTTTCCTAGTCAGACTGTACATCTCCCCCTCGTTTAAAGAGATTTATAACTATCTGTGTTTCTTGAAGTAGAAGAGTTTTTAAAGTCGTAAAGAGACGGTAGTATTAAGTGTGACACCACTTATCAGGAAATACTGATGTGGATAATGTTGTATAACTGATGTAGAAGTTGTAAACAAGAACATGAAATATCAATCTTTCTTTTTTGACAATTAGATAATCCTTTCTTTCCAAATGATTTTCAAAGTGAGAGAGATGTTTACAAAAATTTGCTTCCTTTTCCTATTGTTTACCTTTACGTCTCATAATCCTTTTAGATACAGAGACATGCAGGTAGAAAACCACCAGAATTCCCTTCAGATCAACGATACAAAGAAAGAGTCGTCAAACATAAATATAAGAAGAAAAGAAGACACAATGCACACTAGCAATACATTACATTTAGAAGAACATCATAGACATCAATCCGATCCAACGGTTACTTTCCTAAAAAGGTGGCCGGAGAAACCTTACAGCAAGATGAACGTAGATCTATGGAAAGAAGAGCTGTATAAGAAAAATTTATTGCCAAAATATCAATTTGTGATTGACGGTTTTGTTAAAGGTTTTGATCAAGGGATCCCATCTCATACAATCAATGGAATGGATTTCTATTGCCCACCAAATCATAGTTCAGCAAACAAGGTTCAAGAAAAAGTAATGTCCAACATTCAAAACAAAATCAAAGCCGGTCGAATGTTTGGTCCATTCACAACAGATGAATTACAAACGAAATTTCCATTCTTCAGGTCTAGTCCAATCGGAGCCGTGGTAAATGGAGATGGGTCTTTTAGACCCATTAACGATCTATCTTTCCCTAAGAATAATCCTCTCATACCAAGCGTGAACTCCTTCGTAAATAAAGAAGACTTCCTAACAACTTGGGACAATTTCTCAAAGGTGGCAGAATTCATAGCGAATCTCTCAGTCTCAGCGAAAGCCGCCCTCTACGACTGGGAAAAAGCGTACCGAAAAATAGGAACGCTCCCCAGTCAATGGCCTTATCTAATTATCACCGATTCAGCAGGCTTTCATTACATCGACATCTGTATCTCTTTTGGAGGAGTAGCTGGTTGTGGAAGTTTCGGAGGTCCTGCAGATGTGTGGAAAGATTTAATCAAACTTCATTTCAACTTACTTGATGTCTTTCGATGGGTAGACGATAACCTCCTAATCAAAGAAGAATCAAACACCATCGACATGGACCAGGTGGTAGCTTATAGCTCAGCTTTAGGAGTGAAAACAAACGAAACAAAATTTTCACATTTCGCAGATGAACAAAAGTACATTGGTTTTGTTTGGAACATAAAAGAAAAAAACAGTTCGTTTACCTGACTCGAAATTATCACAACGAACAGCTCAACTAGAAGAGTTCCTTGCTAAAGTCGATTACACCCATAAGGAAGTCGAAAAAATGAATGGCAGGTTGAATCACGTGTCATATATATTACCTCAACTACGCTGCTACCTCTCTAATAATTTCAAATGGTTAGCCAAATGGGTGAATGTATATGCGACAAGGAAGATGCCATCGACAGTAAGAGGTGATATGAACGTTTGGCTAAAGGCATTACAAGCCTTTCCGAACAGGCACCTACTACAACAAAGATCAATATCTAACGTTGGCTGGGTAGGAGATGCCTCAACATCTTTCGGAATAGGCATCCTTATCGGGAAACACTGGTCACAATTTAAGTTACTACCAGGATGGGATTCACCTCTAGAATCAGGCCAGCCGAAAAAGGGTATAGCTTGGCTCGAGACCGTGGCCATCCGTTTAGGCCTACTGATGCTAAAGAAATTACAGCCAGTAGAAGGATTACGTTTTCTAGTACTAACTGATAATACTACCAATGAAGGAGTATTGCGAAACGAACGCTCACGCGATTTTTGGGTCAACCACGAATGGAAGGAAATCAGCACTCTCCTGTACTCGACCGATTGTCAGTTAGAACAGAGAAGAGTCACTTCCGTGGACAACAGAGCCGATAAGTTGTCCAGGGGAGTCACACCCAATCCATTGTGGTATTATCAAGTGGTAGTTGATTTACCTAAAGATTTGAAATCCTGCCTACGCAACACAGAAGAATACGATCACTCCTAAGTTTCTTTTTCCCATACACTATTTCAGATGTCCTATTTGAATTGTGTTTGGTGCCAGATAGTTTTGTATACAAATTAGTCAATCAATATCCTTTTCAAAGTTTTTCTTGTCACTCCTTTTGTAATGATCATTTCGCGAGAATTTGAAATTTGAGACTCTCAATGCGTCCTCACCCACAGAAGTCATGATCATTTGCGCAACAGAAGAAGAAACATCCAGAAAGAGTGATACAATTATTCCTGCGGAAAAGTTTTTTAAGAAAACTTTGAAAAAGAGCGCTAGAGGCACTTACATCTTCACAAAGTAACCCTACAGAACCTCAACAAATTAGCCTGATAGCATACAACATATAAGCTTGACACCCACTAACCGTGAGTAGTTGCACTAATCTTCTAAGATACTGACACAACTTCTAACTCAAATCCCTCATCCAATCGTTCCTACCAGTAAAATGAAATACCTTTTACCGTTCTTAAGAATCAACGATGAGATAAGTTTACCACTATCAAGCTCACAACGACACATGGTAATGGGCGGTTGGAAACAGTCAACCCTAGAATCTTACGCTTCAGGCGTTAAAAAGTTTAAGACATTTACTACGAAGTTCAACCTTAAAGCCTTTCCAGCCTCATGCTCGAAAATCGAACACTTCGTAGTGTGGGCAGGACACAATCACAACATCAAAGCAACAAATAAACCAATAAAAGTCGTAACGATCCACAAATACCTTTCAGCGGTTCGAACGTGGCACGATTTCCATGGAATAGCAGCCCCTAGACTTCTACCGACAAGAATACAAAGTATCCTACGCTCATCTCAAAGACTTGAAACCACATCGATTCTTTTGACTTACAGGAGACTACCAGTATCTCCAAAGGACCTAGTGAAATTAGTAGATAATCTAGAAGAAAACGAGATCGATTCTGTTGGTTTGAAAGCCCTCGTTCTCACAGCTTATTGGGGTTTGGCTAGAATGGGAGAATTAGTGTATAAATCCTCAGTTCTTGATAGAAGAGATATTACCGCTATCAAAAAGTCAGATGTAGTTTTTATACTAGTAGATGGTCAGAGAGCAGTACGTTTGACTCTCCGAGACGCGAAAACCTCAAAAAA